GCGGGGGGGGGGGAGCTAAGACCCGGGGCTCTGCAGAAGCCACTGCAATAGATGGCAGGGAACACCCTCCATTGGGAAGACCCTGGCCTCCACGTGGACTTGCCCAGGACCTCAGGACTGGACGTCCAAGTGAGCAGGTGAAGGCCAAATTTCCCAGCCCACAGAGGGCCTTACTTCCTCCCCCCACAGCCCACTTCTCACCCCGCGTTACTTCCAGCCTCACCCCACAGTGACTTCTGTTTTAAATGAAGAGAATCCTCCCAGAGTCATCCAAGCCCCCACCTCCTCCAAACCCGAGCATCCTTCCTCTTTGCAGTATCTGTCCAACGCCCCCGCCTGGTTCAAATGCACCCAAAGGTTCTCAAACTGTGAGCCCTGGTCTCAGAGAGCCCCCTCCCCATCCAGCCAACAGGACATACAGGAGGCGGGCTCAGCACACTTGTGAGTTCACACATGTATGTGCACACCCATGACTGGCACATACGCCGACCCCCAGTTTGTGCTCCAGGGGAGGGAAGGCAGCACACCCCTCCCCCCACCCCCGGCCCGTGGACCTCTCCACGAACAGCTGGACTTCCATCTGCACAGAGAGGGGCTGCGGGTCCAGGATGCTGGCACCCAGCTCAGACACTGAAATGCTTTTCCCTGGAAAAACCGCACAGGCCCAAAACCAGGCTCCCCAACACCTCTGGACTGCGGTCTCAGCTGGGAATGCTCTTCCCTCCCCCGTCTTTCCCTGGTTAAATCCCACCCTCTCCAAAACTCAGCTGCTGAGGCCCGGGCTCCCGGGGGCTCTCCCACAGCCCCGCCCACTTGGTTCCACGACCGCTGTTCACGTCCCGCTCCCGAGGCAGAGCTGGTCTGACCAGTCCCCACGGTCCGGCCTGACCAGCGGCCGCCGCTGGAGGAAGACGTTCTTAGACGTGCCCGAGGCTGCGCCCCGCCCCACCCGCCCTGACGACCCAGGCCGGTGCCACCCTGAGCAGACACCCCCTGTCTGTCCCCCAGAGCAGGACCACCTCCTCGGGCATGCAGTGCCAACTGTCATCAAGATCTGGACGGTGACGACCGTCTCCCCAGCCACATGCTGTCTGACTCAGCAGAGCGCGAACACCTCACCCCTGTGACGGGGCTGCGTATCCGGCAGCAAAGGCCCTGGACCAGCAGAAGAGCGTGAGGAAGCAGCCTCCTGGCTGCTCCCCAAACACCAGCCATGCGTCCTGACATTGGCACCAGCACACCTGGCGGGTGGCGTGGCTCTGCAGGGTCACGTCTGGGGAGATGCAGATTCACACACCAGGGCTGGAAGGGACCTCTTGGCCCCTGCTGCCCACAGCGTGGCCCAGCGTCACAGGAAATTCAGTCAGCCCCTCGGCCCACCAGACCTGCTCGGTCGGATGTGCACTTGGGCAGAACGCAGCTGCTCCACCAACACCCCTACCCCACCCCATCACAAGCCCCCAAGTCCACTGACCGCAGGAAAATTCTCATTCAAAAAGGAAAACCTGAAAGAACTCAAAGCAAGGACTCGAGGTACTTGCACACCCATGTTCACAGCAGCTTTATTGACAAGAGCCAAGCAGTAGGAGGACCCCAGGTACCCATCAACTATGGATGGATAAGCAAAGTGTGGTCTACACATAATGGAATATTACTGAGCCTTAAAAAGGAAGGAAATTCTGACGCCTGCCACAACATGGATGAACCTTGAAGATGTGCAAAGAGAAACAAACCAGACACAAAAGGACAAATATTTAGGATTCCACCTACATGAGGTACCCAGAGTAGTTAAATCTGTAGAGACAAAAAGCAGGATGGTGGGTGCCAGGGGATGGGGGGGGAGGGGGAGTTAGTACGTTATGGAGACAGAGTTCCAGGTGGTGAAGATGAAAAAGTTGTGGAGATGGATCACGGTGACAGTTGCACAGCAACATAATGTTTTTAATGCCCATGCACTGTACACTTAAAAATGGCTACACCAGTGTTGTTACGTGTATTTTACCACCATTAAAAGTAATTTTTAAAAGGTATATCAAAATCCCAGAATGTTCTGCCTCTTCAACCCAAAGGACACTTACTGAACATTTACTGAGCTCCGAGTCCTGGGATCAGAACTGGACCCAGCTTCCACTGGGCTTACAACCCAGCCAGCACCTTAACACAGCCCATGGGGCCAAGACTCTCCCTGCGGGGGCAGTAACGGTGTCCCACGGGACCGGCACCACCTCCCCTGTGAGCTCCCCGTGAGCACAAGTCCGGGTCTGGACCCTCCGAGGATGGTAGCCAAGCAGAACACCCCCGAAAGGAGCTGTGAATAGGAATCACGGGGCTCCCTGGCCTGGGACCCCCTCCAGGCAGCCCTGAAAATATTAGCATGCAGAGATGAGGCGTTCTCATGCTCCCTTTGCATCTGGCCACAACCCTCCCTACCTGGGGAGGAAGAGGGAGACCCTCCCTCCTGTGCAGAAAACCCCTCCTCACACCCTGCCCCGGGGGTACCAGCGGGGCAGTCACAATCCCGTCCTGAGAAGGAGCCTGCCTCCCCACGGCCCAGTGACCACCAGCCACCAAGAATGTGACAGCCTGTCCTAGGGTCGCAAACCCATCCAGCCCCGACACGAGCCTGCCCCGGTTCCTGGCCCCAAGTCCTGGGCTCCCAGCAGAGGTTACACCACGACCCTGTGGACCAATTAACAGGGGCCCTCCACAAACCAGAGATTCTTTGCCAAGTCTAACTCAAATCCAACTTGCTGCATCTCGGTCCATCCCCCGCGGACAGGAAGAGCTGCCGGTCCCCTCCCCTGAGCCTTTGGAAGTATACGCTCCCCCTCCTCAATATTCAGCTTCCTCCTCCAAGACTCCAGGGCAAAGCCAGCTCCCCAACCCCAAAATCACCGCAGCACGGACGACCAGCACCTGCTACTCACCCTCCTGGCTCTTGGGTGGGGCCTCGGCCACGGGCGGCTGGGGCTTGGGCTCCAGCCTGCTCTGCAGCTGAGACATCGCGGTGGGTTCCGAATTCTCCAGGGTCTGGGATGGGATGGGGGAGGCGGGCCCCTCGGCTGGCTTGGGCACCTGGATCTCGACCCTCTTGGGGGCTGCGTCGGCGGTGGGGATGGCGGGCACCTCAGGGATCTTGGAGGTGGGGGTCTCCATCCTCCGGTGGGCTGACTCCTGGGGCTTGACTATGGTGATCTCCGTCCTCCGAGGGGTGGGCTCTGGCGTCTTGTGACCCAGTGCCTCAGCCCGCTTGAGCCCGAACCGGGACGGCCCGGCGGTGCCGGCGTTCTCTACCTGCTTGGACGAGATGTCGATGGAGATCTCGGTGCGCCGAGACACGGGCTCGGCCTTGGGGCCCGAGAGCTCGACCCTCCGCAGGGCAGCCTTGGGGGATCGCTGGCTGAGGGAGTCTACATGGCGGGCCGCGGGCTCTGAGTTCTTCACACCCAGGTCCTGGAACTTCTGCGTGGAGCTGGCCACAGAGGCCCGGAGCAGGGGAGTCTGGACCCTCCGGGTTGGGGTGGAGTTGGGCGTCTCGACCTCCTCGACCTCAAAAGATCTTTTCAAGGCTGAAAGAGAAAGCGAGGAGAATGTGGTAAGTAGACGGCTCGGGAACCCCTGGGAACATCCCGCTAACGGTGAACATCCCGCTAACGGTGAACACCAGAGGGCGGCAGGCGGGGATGCTACAGCCACGGGCCCTCGGGAAGAATCTTGCGCCCTTCACCTCTCAGGAAGAAGAGAGGACAGCCCCACTCTCCTAGGGGACTGAGGCATCAGCAGCCACGTGTTCTGGGAGAGAGAAAAGGCGAAGCTTGGAGGACGCCCTCTGTCCTCTCTGTCCTGCCGTGGCCATGGTCCCGCCAGCTACATTTTCTATAAGGATGTTCTGGCTCAAGGGAGGGGCCTTTGATTTCTTTCCCTCCTCACCTCCGCCCAACACAGACACCAGCAGCAGCAGCGGTGGCGAGATGTCCCCCGTAATAACAGCCACAACCATAACCAATCAGAATCTCGAAGGGGGGACTTCCCTGGTGGTCCAGTGGTTAAGACTCTGCGCTCCCAATGCAGGGGGCCCGGGTTCGATCCCTGGTCAGGGAACCAGATTTCGCATGCATGCTGCAACTAAAAAGATCCCGCGTGCCACAACTAAGACCTGGCGCAGCCAAATAAATAAATAAATACAAAAATTCACTAGGAAAAAAAAAAGAATCTCGATGGGAATGTCACCACCATATCAATAACAGCATGGACAGCCAACACTGGAACTCTTAACACAGGCAAGGCATTGGGCTTACTGTGCAGAACCACATTTACTCCCCCACCCTAACCCCATGGTGTAAACGATGCTATAATCCCCTGATACAGATGGGAAAACTGAGGCCCAGGTGCTTAAGCAAAGTGCCCAGTGGCGTGGGGTGAGTAGCAGAGCCGGAAGATGCGTCTAACTCCAAGGCCCAGGGTTCTTACTCCTTTCTGGTGGAATAATGGAGATCCTGGGCACACCGCTGCCTTTCTTAGTCCTCACACCGGCTCCTTCTGCCTCCATCCTATACCACTTGCCCCAGCCGGACCTGGGCCCATGCAGGACACTGACCACCCAACTGCCACCCCACAGCCCAGCATTTCCACCCGGCCACCCGCCATCTCCGCCAGGATCTGCTCCCTCCAAGGCGGTGGGGACACTGCCTGAGGAGCCACTATCCCCACAGTCCCTGCAGCCAAGCTGCAAACGAGAACCAGCTGCTCCCGGTTATAAAGACCAGAGTGGGAAGGGGCCCGCGGGGCAGGAACATGCACGAGCTCCTCCCCAGCCGGGCCCACAGCGCGCCCTCAGCGACCCACAGTGTCTCTCCCACCCCCCTCCCCACCTCACCTCACAGCCCCAGGAGCCCAGGATTACAGGGATCCCCCCCACCAATTTCCTCCCCCAGCCCGCAGCTGGTCCCCAGCCCCCAACACCAGCTCTCAGGGCCATTCTGAGCAGCCCCTGCCTCCAGTCTTCCTTCCTCCAAATTCCAACACAGCCCTCGTCTCTTCCCTGTGGACATTACCTCCTTCAGAAGACCAGGGTGTAGTGGGTGGCCGAGTGGGTGGGTGGCCAGGGGCGTGTGTGCTCTGAAGCACTGGACGTAGGGGGAAGCAAAGGAGACCCCAGACCCTGATACCTGGCGCTGGAACCACCAGTTCCCCAAACGTGACACCCCTGGGGGACCCTGTCTAAGCCCTGAGCACACCTCCTTCTCGGAGGACAGAGGGCACAAAATCCCGGGTCACAAAGCCCGACCGGCCCAGAGGCCCTGCAGGGATGGGAAATGTCCTCCGAGGGAGGGAGCTGTGCAGATTTCGGGAGCGGGCGCCTCACCACGCACTGACTCAGGGACACACCTGCTGTTCAGCTTCATTGCAGCCAAGCAGGCATGTGTGTGCAATGTGGCCAGAGTTCCTGATTCAAGAGAATCTGAAAATCTGAATTTTTTTTTATATGTTATCTCCTGATTTTTAAATGCTGGCACAAACAAAGCAAAACAACCCCTTTAAAAACACTGTGCGGTCAAAGGAAATCACATCCAAGGGCTGCACTTGGCCAGTGGGCCCTGCCGTGACCTCGGGTTGATGAGGCACATGGCCAAGTGCGGCAGGGGTGTGCCTGTGCAAGGACCCCAGCTGGCGCAGATCTGCCTCTCATCGGGGGCTGTCCGGCAAGATATGCAGGGTACAAACTGCCCATCCAAAGAAGCCTCAAGTGCCCAGGGAGAGGTCAAGTGCCTGCTAAACTGGCCAGAAAGTCCAGGGCTGAATGCCCGGAACTCTGCCCTCTCATGGTTCCCAGGGCCTCCCGAGACATCTGGTCTACCCCCGCCCCGAGATCACTGTCCAAACTGTCCCCGATGGTGGCTCCTGTCTGTCTGTGAGCTCTCTCGAGGAGGGGTCCACACCCCACCCACCTAGGCATGTGCATGTCCAAGAGTCCTTGGTGTTAGCTCCTTGGGGCCAAGTTGGGGGAACAGGAACTAGGTGGGTGAGGGCTCCTTCCCAGGTTTGCCCCACGGGAATAAGACGACCTTTTCCTGGGAGTCCCGACCAGGTCTGTGCCCCTGTTTGGAGAGCCCCCTTCTTGGGGAGCCCATTTGAATGAACCTCCAACTGCAACTCATGAATTAAGACCCTGCACCAAAGCAAAGGCCTCCCTGAGTCGGGAGGCCCGATTCGGCGATGACGGAGCCAGACTGGCCGGCACACAGATCACTGCTCCCCGGAACACAAAATCTACACAGAACGCACAAACCCGGCCCCATCCGCCACCCTCTCCTCTCTTTGGCTGCTCTGTGCCTCTTCCTGGCACATGCCACTCTCTGGGCCCATACTATCCGCATGCTTAGCACTCGGCTGTATTATCTATCCAGGCATTCAATGGCCAGCACCAACACCCCCATTAGTCTAGTTCTCTCCGAGAGGACAAGGGCTGTTCCCACCATCAGGACGGTCACTGCTCAGCAAACATCCAGGGCTGATGGGGGTTCCTGATGGCTTACGCCATCCCCACAAACAAGCACTGCCCCCATCCAAGGATTTCAAGTCCCCCCACTAAAGCCAGACTCACTCTTGCCTCCTCCCAAAGCCTGCCGTGGTGGCCCCGTGCAGTTCACGCCACTCCCTCCTGTGTCATCCCGATCATCCCAGGCTGCTGGGACTGACTTCAAGCTCCCTGGGAAGAGAGCCGGAGTCCTCTCCTCTGTTACACCACGAGCCAGCCCTCCAGCCCTTCCTGGGCCTCGGGTGCTTCTTATGCACAACGTAAAAGCCAGACCCGATCACAGGTTTGTAACTGTGGGCCCAGAGCAGGGAGGCACCAGGCCCTCAACCCCATCTCAGCCTGAGAAGTTTCACTTTCCTCTAAGGTTCTGTAGGGAGTTGAACAGTGTCCCCCCGTCCAACCCAAAAGCTACGTCCAAGTCCTAACCCCCAGAACCTGTGAATGTGACCTTACTTAGAAAAAGTCTTTGCAGATGTAATCAAGGTAAGGATTCAAGATGAGATTATCCTGGATTTAGGGTGGGCTTGAGAAGTCCGGTAAGTGTCCTTATAAGAGAAAGAAGAGGGAGATCTTAGAGACACGGAGGTCATGTGACAACAGAGACAGAGACTGGAGTGATGCAGCCGCAAGCCAAAGATGCCTGGGGCCGTCAGAAGCTGGAAGAGGCCAGGAAGGATTCTTTCCTAGAAGCTTTGGAGAAAGCTGGCGCTGCCAACACCTTGCTTTTGGACATCTGGCCTCCAGAACCATGGAAGTAAATTTCTGTTGTTTAAGCCACATTGTTTGTGGTCATTTGTTACATCAGCCACAGGGAGCTAACACAGGGACCGTTGGAGGGATGAAACCACTGGGCTACAAGGCTGTCTGGGGCCCTTCCCGCTGGTGCTGTCACGCCCACTCTGCACCCAGCCCCACTCAAGAAACGTCCAAGGACTTCCCGTGGCGGCCCAGTGGTTAGGACTCGGCGATTTCACTGCTGTGGGCCCGGGTTCAATCCCTGGTCAGGGAACTAAGATTCCGCAAGCCGCGAGGTGTGGCCAAAACATAAAAAAAAAAAAAAAAAAAAAAAAAAAAAAAAAAAAAACGGACATCTGTTTCTGGGGGTCCTGGACTAACATAACCAGTGACTGACCCAAGGTCACATGGTGATAAAGTGTCAAAGCTAGGTCTCATGCCCAGATTTTGCACCAGAACAGGGGGGTGAGTGGTAGGAAATATGGCTGGGCGGCGGGGTGGGCAAAAAAAAAAAAAAAAAAAAAAAAAAAAAGAAGAAAAAGTAGAAACGTCCAACGGGTGGACCAATCGAAGCGTGGCCGAGCTCCAGAACTGCTGTATCAGGCACCCAGAGGAGGAAAAGCTGACTCCTTTTTCAGGAATCACACAAAACCCCGGACGGTGGGAGAAGTCGTCACGAGAATAACATTGCTCTAGATTTACACCGGAATATTTGGTGATGAAACCAAAGATCATTTTTTAAGGCAGGCTGTGCGAGGGATGCCCTAGGAGCAGCCGCCTCTGTACAGAGGATGTCATGACACAATTAGCACCCAGCTGGGAAGAATTAGGAGACGGCTTGTCACGAAGCTGGCAGGACAGGGTCCTCCAGCATCCCGTCCCCCAACGGAAGTCCTAAACACACGCTCCAGGTCCTGCCCCAACACGCACAGCCACCCCTCCCTTTCCAGGGTCAAACTCACCCTGGAAACTCCTTCCACTTCCTCCGTGGAGAATGGCTATAATCCACCACGGCAGGGGGTGCTTTTTTCCACTTTACTGTTCTCCCCGCTCCCTGCGGAGAGGCAGCCCAGGGGGTCCAAGTGCGGCCCAGGAAGCCAGCAAGAGTGCAGACTGGAGGCTCCTACGTAACCGCATCTGATGGGGGACTGACGGGCAGAAAAGTGGCCTTTCACTGGACCAGGGCAGTGGGGAGTGGCGCTGTGCTGTTCCTCTTTTGTCTGCAGGATGCTAAATGCCCTCAGAGGGCAGGCAAGAGACCCCCACACCCCCGCCCCGAAGTTGGACAGGACAAAC